GCCACTAAGTATCCTTCCCTTGTTAGCAGCATCGTTAGCATCTGACTCGGAAAACTCAGATCTCATCTGTAGACATAGCTTCGACCAAATTATTACCATCCTTAACGTTAGTTTTAAGAACAAACTTATCAATTACCCGATATCGTTGCCAGCGACCGGTACCAGCTTTTTATAAATGCGGAAGTAAAGTGCTAGTACTCCCAGCTTGTGCCGTAGCTCCTTCTTAGCCTTCTCGTACAACTGTTCAAATTCTCTGAAAAACAAATTTTATAAAAAATAACTGCTGCGTATAAGAAGCTAACCCTTCGAAACGGTCTGCTATAAAGTCGTCAAAAACCAAGCGATCTTCTGCTCCTCGGCAGCGACCGTTGAAGGTAATTGCAAGAGTAAGAAGAAAGCAATGCAAGGCCATCACCGTTCCCTTAACAATGAGAGTGATACTCTGCGAGCTTCAAGAAACTTCCACGTTACATATCGTTCAAGTGGAAACCTGATAACGTGATGCTATTATATATTGTATTTGCTGGATTAGAAGAAAAGGCAATGAAATCAGACATCAGATGATTGTTCATAGTTATAGGTTCAACCTTCGTCTCTTTCGCTTCTCAATTAGTCAGACCCTTCATCTCTCACAAAGAAACAGCACAAAACTGGATCAACCTTTTCAAATGACATGTATAGCGAAAGAAAGCTAAAAGCGCTGATTTCAATTCTCCCCTTACTTGTTGCGAAAATTTTTTTGAAAGGAGTTATAAGTTATTCTTTTGCTAAAAATGGCGTCTAAGACTTGAAAAAGGTGTGCGAATGATTAACACGACTGAAGCAGCAATGATATAGTTTACTCCCAAACATCTTTTTATTTGACTTTAAAAACGTTTGTGTTGTTTTTTAAAGCTAGATTATTGGTTTTAGAAAACCACTGGCAGTTCACTTAAGCTTTTTCGCAAAGAACATTCCGCTTTAACTTCCTTCAGAGAAACAAAAACGTTAAAATCTTACTTTTATTCAAGCTCTTCTCGCGCAACTCATCTTAAGGCAACTTCCACTATATTGTGTTCCTTTGGCAGATCGCACTAAAGCACCTGGATAGGCTCAGTAAGTCCATATCTTCGAGGTATGAAAGAAAACATATCAAATCAAAACTGTTTCGAAAAATTATGAGCTTATCCACGAACCCAAATTTGCAGCACGCAATACTTAGGAGCCGTTTTTAATTGTGGCTAAAAGTTCAAAACTGAAAGGAAAGAAAACATGTGACGGTGACGAAAGAGTTGAGGCGCTTTTCCACACTCCCGAGTTTGACATAAGTTAGCGGAGATTTGCGTTAGTAGGTCCGAAGGCTTTACCCTTTGCAGCACTTATGTTTACTATTGATCGGCCCTCAACTCACTTACTACTGTGACATCTTTGTAAGTTCTTCTTTGGATGTTTTAGACCCACCTCTTCTCTTCAGACTTCTGCATCAGGTGAGTACTATTACTTGTTTAGTCGGCAAAAACTCGTCGCGCACGCTACGAGATTGGCCGCGCGGCTGTCGTTGGTGCAACGCATGGGCGCAAGAATTCGTTCCGAAACACCACACACCTTGCTCAAAGACCAGAATCCAACCAACAGATCC